CGAAGATCCCACCTTCTGCAGGAAGCCTTTCCCCAACCCCCTTAATGCTAGTGCTTGTCGATTTCTTCCTATCTGTCCTGCTGTCTTCACCACTGACTGTGAGCTCCTTTGCCTCTCTTTGTATCCCCAGTGCTTAGCACGTTGCCGTGCACATAGTAGGCGTCTGACAAATGTTTACTGACTGTTGACTAGTTAAAACAAGATGGTCTTGGAGGGAATCTGTCTACAACATCCCTGACAAGAGGTCACACTGCCTCTGCTGAAAAGCGTTCCTTCCAGGAAGAGGGAGCTCACCACCTCCAAATCAGCCCATTCCATTTACAGATAGCTTCCGTACACAAGGGGAAATCCGCCTCCCTGTTACTTTCATCCTAGCTCTGTCCTTCAAGAGGAAATAAAACCCACCCAATCCCTCATCCGCCTCTGAGTCTTTTACTATCTGACTACGGCAACCATGTTCCCATGAAGTCTCTTCTAGTCTAGGCCAAACACTCCTATCCCCTTCTCCTCCTCCTCTTCCAAAAGGACCCTAAGATCAGACAGAAAATCTTTAGGATCTTCAGGGCTGACCAAGCCCTCAAGAACCAAAGCCTCCAGGCCTCTCTGGCTAAATCTGACCCCAGGCAAATCAATGCCCCTCTCCAGGCTGAGCTTTCTTCCCTCACAAAACGAGGCAGGGAGGATAGAGGGTTAGACTCTCTCCCTCTCCAAGCCCGTGCTACTCTGCTCAGCAATGAAGTCAATCCATTTATTCCCAGGGTGAAAAAGCTCTCACCTTACACTGAGGTGTGGATGAGGCCAGCAGCCTCCTTCCCACCCCTCTAAGGAAGACGTGCCAGAAGCCAAAGCATCAGTGTCCTTGTGAACAATATGGGAGGACAAGACTCCTGAACCACCTGGCTAGCCTTCTCCACTTCCCCTGTAGTCCAAGTAAGGTGGCTAAGGGGCACCACTGTGCAGACAGCAACGGGTCTGGACTCAGACACCTGAGTTCAAAGTCCACCTCAGATACTTCCTAGCTTCGTGACCCAGGTTTGCCTCAGTTTCCTCAACTGTAAAATGGGGATCATAACACCACCTACCTCCCAGGCTTGTTACAAGGATCAAAAATACCTGTGAATTGCTTATCAGTGCCTGACACACAGAAAGTGCTGAATCAAGTTTTTGCCTTCCCCTCCCGACTCCTACCCCAATGGGGTCCTGCCCCAGGATCTTCACTATTAGGCCGCCCTACGGACACTGCCTCTTCCATCCACTGACCCCAGGGTCCTGTCCGGGACAAGCAAGGTCCCTCTGGCCTGCTCCTACCCGCAAGCCTCCCTGGGTCTCCATCCACCTAATCTCCGGCCTCCCTCAGCACCTTCCTCCTCTCTGACCATTGAGACCCAGCCTAGACCATCTCCTTATACTCAGCACACTCCAGGAGCTGATATAAAAGGCCTGGTCACTGTTCTGGACTAAGGTCCCCCTCGGCCCCTCCACCCCATGTTCAACTCCAGATCTGCTGGCCCTCGCTGAGCCCCAGCTCCGGGGACACTCTCTCACCCAGGCCTCAGTCTCCTTCAGACCTCCCCTCAGAAACCTGCACTCCTCTGAGAAGCCTGCTTCCCCTCCACTCCCACGGTGCTGAGTAGAGCTGGGGCAGAGGACAGAACCGAGCCCGCTGGACTCCCTGAACAAGACCAACAATCCCTTCCTCCCTAACTCAGTCCCTCTGCCAGGATTCCAAACCTCCCCAACCTGCCCTCTTGAAGCCGGGACCTCACTTCATCCTTCACCCAAAAACGAAGAGCTCCCTCTTCTCACGTCCTCCTCATCTCGCTTCACCCAGACATCCCCATCACCAGCTCCTCCTTCACTCCAGGCCCTTCTCCCCTACCAAGGCCAACCCCTCAACTGGCAGCCTGGGTCCCACCCCCATCAGGTATGTTCATGTGGGGAGGTGCAGTCACTCCATCTACTGGCTCTACATCTATCTCTCCCCATCCTTAAAAACCCTTCACTTGATCCAACCATCACTGCTAGTTACCATCTTCTGTCTTTAGGCAGCTAAGGGGCACTGGTACAGAAGACAGAGTGCGGGGCCTAGAGTCAGGAAGACCTGAATTCAAAACCAGCCACAGAAATGTCCTAGCTCAATGACCCTGAGGAAGTCCCTCGCCCTTTGTCTGCCTCAGTTTCTTTCTCTCTTAAACGGAGATAACAACAGCACCTGTCTCATAGCTCACATGAGAAGTAATCCACAGGTAAGACACTTAGCGCTTAGTAACAGACGTGACCCTAAGCTTTCCTTCTCCCCTTTTCAGCTACACCCTGGAAGAAAGCCACCTACAGCACACACCCTCACACTCCTTTTTCTCAGCCAGCAGGCTTCCCAAGGCATTCAAATGAAACCGTACCCTCCAAGGGCTCTCATCTTCCCCTCCAGGACCTCTGGGCAGCCTGGGGCGGTTGGGAGGTGGGGGATCCCCAACTCTTCCAGGTTATTCTCTTCTCCCTAAATTTTCATGACAAGGTCAGCTCTCCTCCTTCCCTCCGGGGTCACACCTTCTTAAGCTAAGCAATCCCCAAGGCTCAAGCATCTCACTCACTCTGTGATCCAGATTAGACTCTCGATCTAAGAGGCTGGTCCTGGTCTTTCCTGAACTGAAATCACACAAAGTCTCCTGTACATCTCAAGCTGGATGTGCCTTAAGCTTCTCAAACTCAACAAGTCCAAGACAGGACACATTATCTTTCCCCAACACTCTCCCTTCTTCCTAACTTCCTCCGAGCAATCGCAACTCCTCACCATAATTCAACTCCAGAGCCAATCCGCTGACAAATCTTGCCTTTTTTCCCTTCTAGACATCTCTCCCAGCACCCTCATTCAGGCCCTCTTCACCTTGAGCCTGGACTACTGCAGTAAGCTTCTCAGGGGTTCTCTGACTCAAGCCTCCAATGCATCTTAGGCTCAGCAGCCAAGGTGATTTCTCAGAGTCTGACCATATCCCCGCCCTCATCTCTGCCCTCCCCCCCAGCGCCTCTAGGACTCTTAAAAGACTTTCACAGCCTGGTTCCTTCGCCCCTTTCCAGCCTTCCAACATCTCATTCCAAGGATGTTGCTCTCTCCATCTCCCCAGGCCTAGGATGCTGTCTCTCTTCCTCCCTAAGACTCAGTTCAAATCCCCCCCTCCTCCTGCAGGAGGCTCTCCCACAGATGCTGACGCCTTCCCTTTTCTAATTACTTCCCATATACTCTGCATGTATGTGTCTATCCTGTATGTACCTGCACGTTTCCATGTGGCCTCCCCCGGCATTAGAGTGTAAACTCCTAGAGACCAGGTTTTTTGGCCTTTCTTCTCCTCATTTCAAATCTTTCAATTGTCTCCATGGTTTAACCTTAAAATTCTTTATTGCTAAAAGTAATCTAAGCAGCCAAAAAAAGCAAATTAACACATTGAGTGTGTGCAACTCTAAGAGGTTTAAACGGTTATGTTTAATTCAGGGATAATTTCTGACAGTTCCAAAATAGGGTACAAATCTCATGTGAAACAACCCTATGCGGATGGGTGCAGTTATTATCCCCACTTTTCAAATGAGGAAACTGAGGCAAATCAGACTCTCACAAGAAATGGACTAAGTCCCAACACCTTCCCTTTCTTCTCACAACTGACTAACTTGGTCTGACTTTAGAAACTGCAGATATCAAAAATTGGCTGGGAGGCAGGGGCCATTTCAGCTTTTCAGGTCACTTCAATACATTTCCGATGAAGCAATTCCCAGAATTTTAATGTCATTTTTTTCAAACAGCACTAAGTTTGTTTACAAAGCCAATCGACCTACCCTTCCCGACCCCCCTTGGTGATCTTTCCCAGTCACTCCCCCCCCCCATTCTTAACAGGAAGTGAGCGTCCAGCTTTCTTGACAAAGTTCAAGCAAGGGATATCCCCCCACTGCACCAGGTAGCCCCATCTGGACAAACAGCTTGCAAGCTTTCAAGCATTTCAGCTAAGAGGGGCCCAAGACATCAATCGCTTGTTCATAGCTAAATTCTGAATGTATTTCAGTGCATTTAACACCACAAATACAAGTGATCTGCAAATACCCCGACAATTTCTTAAAATTAATGAATTCTCAAAGTTCTTCTTTCATCAGCCATTAGTTTTCCCAGGTGTAACATTACAAGCCAGTGACAGAAAGTGATGGAGGCTCCCATTCTGTTGTGCTTTACTGCTTCATTACTATAAAGTCCTGGGAGGGGGCCAGCTCCGAGACAGCGCAGGGCCAGAAAAGCCCTCCTTTCCAATGACACGCCATGAGCGGGGCTGGCAGTGCCCTGTCACTTACCTTTTGAGAAAGGGCAAAACTGCAGACAAAGAGCAAGGCAGGAAGGAGCACAGGAACCCTCAAGAAAAACTGGGGGGGCACTCATTAAATGCCAGTCACCTTCATCAAGCGGGCACACAGGACATGTTATTAGTACATAAAATGGGCTGCAGATACTGAAAATCAGCAAACACTCTCAGACTCAAACTGGCCACAGACCCAGCTGGGCCAGGCCCGAAAGTCCATCTGCAGCAGCTCTTATGATGACAACGCCCATTCCACCAATAACTAGCTGTGCATCTTGGAACAAATCACTCGACCTCTCTTGAGACCCTGTTTACCCCCCTGAAGTTAAATCCTTCCAACTCCCTTCCAGGTTCAAGTCTGGAGTCTAAACATATAACTCTGCGCTAACAAAACCTGATGGCATGAGACACCACCAGAAAAATAGGGGAACCTCGGCTGAGCTGAGGGACTTTTGTTCTGCTCTGCTTGGCTGCCAATCGACTTTGGGCTGGAATCAATGTGGGGGACCTTCTTTGACGGGCTACTGCTCACTCCCATCCCAAGAACCCCGTTTAGAGGCCCTCCCGACACCCACCCAAATACGGGGCGCGAAGGGGGCCCCTTCCCACCTCTGGAATGGCTCTGAGCAGAGACTCGCTCCCGCGCCAGTGCTCGGGCCTGCTTACCTCTGAGGGGGAATGTAAGGAGCAGACACCGTGGGCATAACTGTACAGGGCTCAGCCAAAGTCTTCTTGGCCTTTTTCGTTTTCTTCCTGACTTTGGACGACGACCTAACAGTTTTGACGGCTCCCTCCTTTCGGCAAACCCCATTTTTCATCTCGACGTCCCCATAAATATTGAGAGGCCTGCGGATGCAACCTGGGGGGGTGTGCGCATCGCAGTAAGCAGTCTTTTTGACAGAGAAGGTGGTGCTGCTGCCCGTCACCTCCTTCACGGGTTCCATTTTCATGTAGAGGCCGGCCTTCTGGGCACACGTCACATGGAATGCTGTATAGCAGTTGGCTTTGTGGCACTGGATACAGGCACCGACCCCCTTCTGCTTGCAGAGGTAGCACGTGAGCTTCCATCGGGCCGGGGGGATGTTCCGCACCCCGTCGATGGGCTCGATGAAGACCGTGTTGGCGAACCCCACCTCGGGAATCCACAGGGCACAGACCACGTGGCCCCAGCGGTCATCGTCCGTCTTTTTGAAGGCACCTCCCTTGTTGGGGCACAGCACGCAGTCGACGGGCCGGGCACGGGACTGCAGGCAGTGCCGGCAGAGCCACTGGCCCTCCGGGATGTAGGGCACCCCGTAGCACTCCTGGTGGACGGCTAAGTTGCACAGGTCACAGAAGAGAATGACGTTGCTGTTCTGGCACTCCCCGTCCATGCAAATGCAGCACACGGCATCCTCGTCAATCAGAGACTGAGGGTCACCCTGCTTCTGGTTCTCACAGTACGACTCCTTCTCAAAGCGGTCCATCAGGAACTCAAACATGTTCTGGGACACCACGGACACGCCGTCGGCCTTGCGCCTCTCATTCACGATCTCTAGCCAGGCGTAATCTTCCTCGTCCATGTCATACTCCACCTCGTGGTCAAGCTCCTCGGCCGACTTCTCGATGAACTTGTAGTAGCCCGGCGGTCGCCGGGGCGCCGAAGGCGGGCTGTACTCGACGACGCGCACCCGGGGCTCGGGGAGGGGGCTGGCAGCGGCAGGGGCGCCGTGGGCCCCGGGGAGAGCATCGTTCTTCTTCTTCACCTTGCTATTTTTATGCCGCTTCGCCCGCAGACAGACCGGGGGCCTCTCGCTGTTCTCCTTGTTGCTGTTACATTCGCTCAGCTCCTGAGCTGTAAGGTCATCTTCCAAGATGATCTCTAAGGGGTCAAAGATGCTGATCCGATGCAGGCGACCTTCGATCTCAATCTCCACCATTCTCTGAGCTTGGGCGTACGTCAAGGTCTCTCGAGTAGGGGAGTGCTTAATACTGCACGGGGAAGAAGAGGGCCTGGTTGCAGATACTCGATGACATCGTCCTTTCCTCCTCATTTGGCAATGATTACCTGAAATCACAAGCAAAGTTCCAGTCAATGCTTTCGTGTGACAAAACGTTTGAAAAACAGTCAGGCCGAGTCAGCCTAGGTAAATCCAAGTAAGACACACACTCAACGGGTCTGAGGGTCCTTAGACAGCTCAGGGCTCAGCGGCAGGAGGCTCAGGCCTGGAGTCAGGACCCCGCGAGTTCAGATCTTGACTCAGACGCTTACTGACTGGGTGAGCAAATCATAGAAGTGACTTGCCTCAGCTTCCTCAACTGGAAAATGGGAGTAAAGACCATAACAAGCAGCAACCTTGGTCTGGCCGTGTGCCTGGCTTACTCCTGACCCTGCCTGAGAAGCAGAGGTTTTGCAAATTCATTCATCCCAGAAGACCAAATCTCAAATTACCCCCAGCACCCAATGTGCTCTCCTTAAGAGAGATGGGTTTTCAGTGTTGCTGAGGACAGCAAGGAAGCAAAAAGCACTGGGGAGAGAGGATGATTAAAGACATTCTTACTTAAACAGGAATGTAAGTAAATGTGATAAAGGGCTTTAAAGCAAGCAATGGTGGGGAGAAGAATGTTAGTCAGAGAAATGTCCAAAGAAAAAAAGAAGTTCAAGAAGGAAGTTCATAAGGGCCCACAGACAGTAATGGCATTTGGTCCTACATGTTAAACTTGGTGATTTTTTTAAACCTATACATACATCAATGGTTTGAGATGCTCTGCCTTCTGCATATAGAAATGTTCTCATTTAGTTACTGTTGAGATCATAATAAAAGTATTTCAAACTTTTTAAAATATTGCGCGAAATTCTTTGTCTATATCACAGAGACATCTGGTCTGATGTGAGTTTATCTCAAAGAGCGGACAGACCCATATGGGATAAAGTGGGAGTGGGCCCCCTCCAACTCAAAATCTGGTTCCATGGGACCAATAGTATTAAATTCTGGGGGGGGGGAGAGAGGGGGAGAGAGAGACAGAGAGACAGAGAGAGACAGAGAGAGACAGAGAGAGACAGAGAGAGACAGAGAGACAGAGAGAGATCAAGAGATCCACAGACTTTTGGAGGGGAATCCAGTTCCTGCTGTTCACATTATCATTATAATCACAATTAATGACTGTCTTTGGGCAAGTGCTTTTCCGGTTGTACCAACAAGGAAGCAACAAGGAGGACGTGCCCTGCTCAGTTCAGTTGGAGGCCTCGGCACATTAACTTATTAACTGGACGTGAGCCCCTCCTTCCCCCAGTTCTTCTTTTCCTTCTTTCCCCACCCCTGTGGCTTGTGGTTAAGTTAACCCAGGGACCAAAACAGTAAGGAAGTCTCTACCAAGAAGAATCCCAGTGGGAGGGGAGCCACACTGATAACCACTGCGTGTGAAGGTTAGAGGAGAAAAGTAGGAGCAGGCAGCAAGGGAAACCAACCCAGAGAAGACGAAGAAGAGGGTTTAAATAATTAGACTCCCTCTTCTCCAAGACAGACTCCAAACAGCCATCCGGCAGGACAGGAATGAGCCTTCCTCCCCAGGATGTCAGACACTCTGAAAAAACAGTCATCTTCTTGGTCCTGTTGGGCTCGTGACCAGCCACTAACAGCAAGGACACTCTCCCCACTGCCTTAGCACCTGCACAGCTTTCCTGCCGTGAGTTGAATGATCGCCCCTGTTCTGTCTTCTGGATCTCTTTAAAGTTTAAAAAGAAAGAGAGGAGGGAACTGCTAAGCATATCCTAGCACGCTCTGGAATGAGGGCAGGGTCTGGTCACAAATAACAAGCTTTTGTACCGGGAAAACACAATTGATCAGCTGCTGGAGTCCCTCCCTCCCAGCCGCCCAAGTAGCAAACGCAGTAATGACACAGAAAACCAGCTCACAAAGGGCCAGGCTTTGGGGTCACGGTCAGTAAGCCTTGCTCCAAAGCCTGTCCAAGAGTCGGGTCGGAGGAAGGACCCCCCCATCACTCCAGGCATCATCCACATCTTCCCACCTTTCCAGCGGCAGGGCATCCTCCCCACAGCCCTGTCCGAGGGGCGCCAAGCCGGGGCAGAGAAAGGTGAAGGGACCCGTGCCCAGGGAGAGGCTTCTTAACCTAAGTCCAGCCCAGCTGGATGAATGACATCTCTTGGGTAAGAAGCACGACAGCCCCAAGGGTGGGCTCTTCCAACTCCACGACCGCACGGCAACGGGCAACGGGCAGTGACCACGGGGAACCGGGAGCACTCAGTGACAAGACGCCTAAGGGGCCGCCCTGGCCCCGGGCCGGGGGGCTTCTGCAGGACCCCTATCTAACCAAGCTCCCAGCAAGTCTCGCCGGCAACACCGACAGGGTCCTTCGAAGCAGCGATGTGCAAACGGAGGCGAGCCCGCTCCGCAGCCGGGGAAGCCGGCCCGGCGGCCAGGCCGCTCTCGGAGGCTCCTCGCCCCTGGGTGGGGGCCACGACCCCCGCCCCGCCCCGGGGGTCGGCCGGCCCAACTTTGCTCGGCTTTTGTTTCGGCGCTTAGGGAAGCCGCGGCAGGCCGGGGGGAGGGGCGGGGGGGGCGCGGATGACCACCGGCAGCCCGGCCCTGCCCCTCCCCGCGCCGGGGGCCCGGGGGGGCCGGGCGGGGCGGCGCCGCCTCGATCAAGACCACGGCCCGGGCCGGGGCGGCGCTCGGGCAGCCCCGGCCGGGACCAAGGGCGGACGGCTCCTCCCCGGCGCCTCCGCGCAGGGGCCCTCGGGCGGCCGGACAGCCCGGGCCGGGCCGGAC